GCCGGCGCGGACGCGGGCTGGCGCGCGGTCAGGACGGCCCCAAACATATTTGAGTACTAGGCCGGGACAGGGGGTCCTCGTTCGAAAATTGTAGAACTGGAGGAAGTTGCGTGTGTGTTGCAACTTTGTTGAGACACAGTTTACAGGCCGCGCGCCCGTTTGCAGGCCAGATTGTTGCTGCGGGGTCTCTCGTGGTTCTGCACAGGCTTCAAGGTTGCGCTCTCTGTGTCTGTGAGAGGCGCCTCTGGGATCAGGGTAGGGACTGCGTCATTGCGGTGGCTCTGCCGGCTGGCCTGCGTAGTGCGGACGATACTCCCATAGCAGTATTAGTTCTTCCAGGTCATGAGCGTGGAATATCTTTCCTTTTCCTGTGTCTTCAGTTTCATCAGCGTCTTACAATTTTCAGTGTACTGGTCTTTCACCACTTTGGAAATTTATTCCTAAGCCATTGATTATTTTTGTTATAAATAGGATTGTTTTATTTCTTTTTCAGATAACTTGTTGTTAGTGTCTAAAAACACAGCTGGTCTCTATGCTGACTTTGTATCCTGCAGTTGTGCTGGGCACGTTTGTTAGTTCTGACGAAACCAGGCTCTCATCCCTAATTGTCCTTTTCGTCTGACAGGCTCCTGTCCCGTGTGCCGTTGTGTTTCTGAGAGTGAAAGTCAGGACTGCAGGCTTCCGTTTTAGTTTGTGGTCAGCACCAGTGTTGACTCTCTGTCCTCTGGATGGCAGTGAAATGACCTCGCTGAAGTTGCTATATTTTTTCCTAGCACTGGGCAAAGTGAAACTCTTAGTTCAGTTTTTAAAAGATTATTTCGATGAGTCTTTTTATTTTATAGTAGTCACTCTTTAAGTTATCTTGAAATTATACATTCATTTGAGTGGATTTTGATCTGGTCTGGTCCCTTTGAAGACCCTTTTTGATAGAAGCCCTTTCCCCTAAGATACACCTTCTCTCCAGTTAGGCTCAGTCCTGGGGGCGCACTGCCAGGGGGAAGAGACTCAGTGCCTTTCTGTTCACACCCGCCAGCCACACTGCCTCCTCACTGCTCACGGGCTGTGTGTCCCTGTGTGGGCCCCAGCCTTTGCTCTGCCATTCCCTCTGCCTCCAGGGCTGTCTCGCTGCTCAGAGAGGTTCCCACACTCCTTCGTCACAGCTCTCATCATCCCCAGCCCCCTGGTGTTCACTTGTCCGTCCTCATCTTTTTCCCTTGTAGAATCGAATCCCCCGCCCTGAGGGCGTTCATGAGCATTTGACAGATGCCGTCAGTGAGTTTTGGCTTTAGTGGCAGCCTGCATTTTTACCTCAGGTGACATAAATGGGTGCTCTGCTTTCCAGAGTCATGAACTGGCTCTGTTTCCATGTGTATCCAGATGCCTAGTCGGACAGGTGACAGCTTAAATGTCCCTGCGGGTAAACGCGTGGATTTCTGAGTCACATCAGCACGTCCACTTCGGTGGTTTTGGGATTTATAAGCATGCTTACTCTGGCTGCAGACCCCCTTCTGTCCACAAGTGTGTTTTTAGAGACTGATGGAGGATAGGCTAGCTGTGTCTCTGTGTGTCACCGCAAATCCTCCCCAACTTTCGAGGGATCACATCCCAATAAACCTATCGTACATGGAAAATGCATCTAATACACTTAAGGTACTGGGCATCATCAGGTGTGGAGCCTCTCGTGCAATTTGCTGAATACTGTACTGAAGGTGCAAGACAGTGGTTGTCTGGGTCCAGAAGGATTGTTAAGCGTACTGGTTGTTTGCCCTCCTGGTCACATGGCTGGCAGGCGCTATAGCTCACTGCCCAGGAAAGGACAAAATTCGAAAAACGGCTTCTGCTTAATGCATGTGACTTTTCCACCATCATAAAGTCAAAAACTCAGACTTGCGCCAGCGTAAGCCAGGCACCAGTCTGTCTCATGGGACGGAGGCCTGTGTTCACAGTTCCAGGGCTGCCTGGCCTCTCTAGAGGGAAGTACATACAAATTCCAATGGAGGGTTTTCTTCAAGGCCGTGGCATGTCTTGGCTCGGCCCCCTAAGCTGCAGATCACTGTGTCTGCACAACCACAGATCTTCAAGTGAAGGAGAGTCACTGAGAACGTGGCTGCACTTGCAGGCCAGGGCTCCGGAAGCTCAACTTCCTGCGTTCTTCCTAAAATCGGGTGCAGCTTTGCTCACCACACCGGGCCGTCTGCTCCGCCGGCCACTGGCCTGGTTTGTCTCCTATGCGCCTCTATCCCCGGCACCTCATGCCGTCAGCAGAGAGGAGCTCTCGTCCCTCAGTCTGGGTTCAGCCTGTCTTGCTGGTCTCGAGAGTCTTGCAGTCCATGTGCTGTCCTGGCTGGAACCCCACCACCCGCCCCACCCCACCCCACCCCACCCCACCCCCCAGCCCCAGCGCCAGCCTGTAGGGTCAGGTCTTGCCAGGGCAGAGCTTCCAGCAGGGCCTCCTGCCTCCTTCCCTCTGACCAGCAGAGCTGGTGTGACCATTTCTGCAGGAGGCGGCTCACTCCCCGCAGTGCTCCCTTTATACCGTCGCCCTTTTATAGTGGAGTTTGTTTACTTAGCCTTTGACGGGTTGGGATTTTTTCATCAGCAGCCTGACGGAGAGAACGCTCACCTGAAGTAAGAGATGGGCTTAACTGCGTCCGGAAGGAGCCACCGGGGAGACCTCTGTCTGCCATCGGTCTATGAGCGCCCTGCCGGAAACAGCACTTGCAGGGTCCAGCGGACGTGCTGGGAGTGGGCGTGCAGGTGGTCCCCCGCGTCATCCGCAGTTAGCAAGAGCTCCTGAAACACGCCTTTTCCCCGGGAGAGGGTGAGGGAGGCGCAGCGGGCAGCATGGTGGCGCTGGCTGCGCGGTGCAGGTGGGACAGCAGGTGCCCCCCACCTCGCGCTCTCACCTGCCGCGCTGGGCGCGCTCGGGCCGGTAGTAGGTGGAATGTCAGCTCCTCCCTACACCTCAGGGCTAGGTGCCGTGCTTCTGTAGGAACTACATCACTCCCTGGTCCAGGTTTTCCTTTCGTAATTACGCCTTTTGAGACATTTTGCCTGCTCCTAGATCTGGGCTATTTTTAGGCTAGAGTCGAACCTTTCAGCCAGTTCTGTAGAGGAATGCTTCTGCGTCATAGGGGGAATTCCCTCTTGTCTTTACAGCCAGGCCAGTGGGTGTGCGTTCCCGGGTGGAGCTGGGGCAGTGATCAGGCTGTTCCTCAGCGCAGGCAAATGAACCTCATTCCAGATATAAATAGTAAGTGGGGCCTTTCTGCAGGAATTGTCCAGACTGCCTGTTATCTTTAAAGCTGCTTACTAAGCGTTCAGAGGTAGTGTGAGGTTCGGTGCCTCTTGGGGTTGGTCCAGCAGACTTCTCACCTCCTTGGAGATTAGCTGACCCTCCTAAGGGAGCACTTGCTTCCCATTTCCTCACCCTCGTCCAAGCCTGGCCTTTGCCCGGCGTCTCAGGGTGCCTGTTGGTGTGGAGCCTGGGGAACTGTCACTTCCAGGGCCATGGAAGTTGCCCTGCTCAAGTGTGCTAACCTGGGGGTCTCCTTTTGGAGACATGCTGGGATCTTGGCAGGTTGGGGGCCCTCTTCAGAGGGCCATGTGCCCCTCAGCAGGGAGGAGCCACTGTTCCCAATGGTCCGCGGAGGGCTGGTTGCTGTGTGGCCTTCTGCTGCCCTGGAGAGGAGAGTGATGGTCACTCAGGCCTGCTTTGGCGGGTCTGTGGGACTCTGCTGTCTCTTTGCCAAAAAATATGTGTTAGGTTTCCCTCTGCTTTTGGAGACTTTTTTCCTCCACATTTCCTTGAGTGCAGCTGCCCCTCCCTCGGCCTCACCTCCAGCCGCAGTGGCTCACCACCACCTTCAGTGCCATCTGGTGATGTGCACACCTTCTGTGTGGAATTCAGGGATTTCATGAATTTAACCACCACGAGCTGGGCTCCATCTCGACCCCATGGTGGCGTTGCCGCCTCCGCTGACCCCAAGTGTGTCGGACAGTCACACCTGGGCAGCTGCGGAGCCTGGCCCCTCCTCTCCCAGCAGCAGAGCTCTGCCCCCATACTTAGTGCTCCTGGCAGTGGTCACCGAGGTCGGAGCCCCAGCAGTGAGGTGCCGCTTTAAAACACTCACTCATGTGTTAGCGAAGAACTCACTCCCTAGGAACTTAATAAACCTCATCTTATCTTTTTCATCTTCGTTCTGATCTGTCCTGGCCATGGCTTGCCCAGCTCTGTGAAAGTCACTGTGCACAGGGCGTTTTCAAGGAAAGGTGTATCCTGTTTTTGAGCTTCTTGACTCTTTACCCACTGAATTGTCCAGAAGTTGCCTGTTTGACAAAGATGAGAGGATAACACTGGTCTCCCTCCTGCTCAGCTCTAAGTAGTGCCGTGCGGTAGGCCTCACAGAAGCCGTCCTGGATCAGGGAGCTCTGCTGAGCCGGTGGGAGCTCAGTCTCGGCTGTGGGGTGCAGAAGGCTGAGGCCGCGGTGGTTCTCGGGGTGTCGGGCCCTCCCAGGGGAACAGCGCCTGGATGGCCCCGCCCACCACTTGAGGCTTTTTCTTCTCTTCACCCGGAAGTTAAAGTCTTAGTAGGTGGCACTTACATGTCAGCTTTGTTGGCAGTGACATTTCTTTAAGCTGTAGCCACTTGTGATAAAGTACAAATGTGTTTTCAAATCCAAGGAATAAACGGACAGGTCTGTCACACCGGTGCCCCTCGCCCAGGTCTTCGTGGCCTCCTGGGGAGAAGCCCTGGTGTGCAGGGGACTGGAAGGGACTGCTCACAGCTGACAGGTCATGAAGGCTGCCCAGGGCCACTGGGCGTGGGGACCTGTGGGCAACCTGATGCAGCAGTGGGAAGGAGAAGCAAGTCCGCTCCCAGCGAAGTCATGAGAGGGCCTGGCGGAGGGAAGCCCCATGCTGCCAGGTCTGCTCCCTGTCCCCCTGTGGGACGTGTCACCCTTCCGTTTCAGGAGAGAACCTTCCTCCTTTTTATCTCTTCTTATCTTTAACCCCAAACTGGGCAGCTGCTCAGGGTGGAGTTTGCAGACGCCCTCCCCGTGGCTGCCTCACGCCGCTGCCCTGGTGCTGTGCGGGGACCAGGGCCCTTTCTCGTGTTTGCTCTGACTGCGCCTGCCTGGCCAGCACAGCTGACCTTTGCTCCGTGGAGTCTGCCTCCTGTGGCCTTGAACAAAGGAACAGGGGTCAGGAAGATAAGGCTCTGTACTGGTGTGCTGCAAGGCTCTGCTCGGAGATGATCGGGGTTTTCCCCTTTCTGTTCACAAGGGCTTATGCAAATTCCAAATCTGTCTGCCAGCTTTGATGCCAGCGTTCCTGGCCGACCGAGGCCCTCCCTCCCAGCTGTCCCACTCACGCAGGTTTCCTCCGCCCTTCTCCAGCCTCCCATTGTGAGGTGGCGGCCTGCGCACCAGGCTTCAGTGGGAGGCCTGTGGGGACAGCGTGGCGCCCCTGCGGCTTTACGTCGCAGTGTGGTTGCTGGCTTGTCTGTCTCCCAGGTACTCCAAGTCCCTTTAGGCTCTCCTGAGTCGGGTGAGACAGCAGAGGGACAGTTTTGGTCCTCTGCGGCCGCCAGGCGCCAGCCCACAGACCCAGGCCGTGGGCGCCGAGGCCAGAGGTGTTCTCTGTCACTGATCCCCTCCTGCTGGGTCGTGTTCAACTTACCGGTTGGTGCAGGACACCTTCTGCCGCCCCCAAGGGTGCTGAGCTGGGGGCGGTGAGGACAGTGGCAGCGAGTGAGCCCTTCGTGGGGTCAGTGGGCAGCATGGGGCTCCTGCCTGGTCCTTTGAGTGACCTGGGAGTGCCCCGACCTTGCCTCTTCCCACCTCCCCGGGAGTGTAGGAGCAGGGTTCCCAAGTGGTGTTCAGTGACCTCTGTTGCCTGTTCACTCAGCCATCCTTCCCAAATAGCCGCCGTCTAAAACTGATGGGTCGCACTCTGCCTCCAAGTTTGAAACCTTTTCTTCCTGGTTTGGGCCCCACGTCTGGGGGAGCCCTTCCGGGCTCAGCGAACTCATTAACACCAAGCTCTGGGCGTCTGCAGGAGCGTCTTGTTTCACACAGTGACCCCCCCAACCCCACTTTTTTCCTGTACCGCCCGTGTGGTCTTCTACATCAGGACCACTTGTACCATTCGTTTATATACTTTAAAAATGTTTCCACCTTTTAACCTTAAATCCATCTTAAAAGGAAGTTTTACATCCTTACTGCACAGCAAGCACGGGTGCTTTGTCCTAGTAAATCACAGCAGAAACAGAGTCAGAAACAGAACTGGTTTTCTTTGTACTCATTAAAATCAGGAGCCCAACTGGCTGCGTTTTGGGGAACACAGACTTGCTGAATGGGGTCCCTTGTTGACCAGGGTCACCGCCAGGCTGGTGCCAGCCCTCCCGAGGGGTGATGGGAGCTCTGGGTCCGCCCGCGGCCCCAGCCCAGAGGAGTCGTCTCCTGGCCTCGTCCTGGTGCTCTTAAGACCACCAGTTCATTGTGAGACCCAGAGTGAGTGAGGAAACCTTGGCTGTCAAAGGTGGTGGAGGCCTGCTGTGGCCGCCTCTCTGTGGCCACGAGTGATGCTTGTTCCCTGGCTGTCATGGGGCCAGGGGCCAGGGCTCTGTCCTGCCCACCACCGCGGCAGCGGGGTCTCAGTGCTGTGCTGGAAGGACAGCAGGTCGACAGAACTGGGCCGTTCTGATGACTCATGAAGAGGCTAGTGACCCAGGTGTTCCATTTCCTGTTGCATGTTTAGAACGAGAACAGCTCAGGAAGTGCAAAGGTGAAAGCAGCGTGGCTGGCTGGGACACCTGGAGTCATCAGGAGGGTTCCTTCCTACCTGGACAGCGCCTCCAGCAGGACACGCTTATGCGCGGAGGGGCCGTGACTCTCGGGGCTGAGGGCTGAAGTGTCAGGGACTTTGTGCCTCACTTAGTGTGTCCTTAGGGTGACTTTGAATGTTGAGTGTTGCTCCTGGTGTGGGGCCCTTAACAGATGGTAGGCATGGAGCCTGCTAGTTGGTGGATTGATTGAATAGGTCTGAAAATGTCAGTAGGCGTTGATTTTTATGAGTTGTGATGTAACATAACTAGATGGTGGTGGTGGAGAACTTAGAGTAACTAAAAACCTACCCCCAAGCAACAGGATTTTTTACAAAGAAAACCGTGATCTTTTGCCGACACCCGTCAGAGAAGAGGTGAGTAAACACAGGACACTGTTCCTCCCAAGCCGGGCGGCCGAGCAGCTGGAGCTGCCCTGCGGTCGGGCGGCCAGGCTGCGCCCAGATGCCTCTGAGGGGGAGGGGCGCTGGCAATTGTGACTCTCTGGGGTCTTGCCTACAGACGGGACTCTTGCGTGAGATAAGACAGGAACGGGAGAGCCCGGCCCCTCAGAACATACCTACCCCAGAGTGGCATCGCCCACAAGCCTTTCAGGAAACGGAGGCGGGGCGGGAGCGCGGCTTCCCCTCAGACCCTGCGCGACACCCAGAGTTGTTAGAGGGACGGAAACCAGCCCCGTGCTGTGCTGAGTGTCAGTCGGCTTCACTCTCAGGGAAAAAATTCGACAGTAGCAAGAACCTGTAAAATGCTCACTTCCTTCCACACACTGATTCCACATCTTAAAAGTTGGCCCTTAAAAATAAGTCCATAAAGACATATATAAGGGGTCGCTTTAATCTCTGTGTTTTCTAAACACAGAGTTAGAAACAGCTAGCAGTAGAGCAATGTCTGGACGGTGTAGCCCCTGACAGTGGGGCGCTGCACCGTCGGGAGGCCCACGAGTCCTGGAGGGCGCCCAGCTGTGCTCAATGTGTTCATCGAGGAACGTGAGAAAAGGCGGGAAGGAGACGCGGAGGTGCTAAACGGCGGCTGTCCCCGGAGAGCAAGATGACAAGCTTTTACTTCCTTTTTACTTTGTGTGTGATTTTTAATTGATAACAATATGGCACAAGGCCAGCAGGTACCTTGGTGCTGAGCTGTGTGGTTGTTGTGGGGCCCTGTGCTCTGGCTTGTAAAGCAGGGGTGTTGCGGGGTGGGTGCCACCGTGGCTCGGAGCAGAGCCTCGTCCCCAGAGCTGTGCTGCGAGCTGCTGCCGGGCCCAGTCCCCGCTCGCACCCTCGGGCCTGGGGGCTCCCCCTCCGCAGCGCGCGGGGGCGGGCACCACAGAGGCTTTCCTGCGCAGGCCTTGGTGGGTGCAGCCCCACTGGTGACCACCACGGAGGCAGCCACTGTGGGGGCAGATTGGTTGGGAGGCCCAGCAGGGTCTGACCCGCTGGCCCTCAGCCTGCACACACCTTTCATGCGGTGACTGACGCCCTGGGCCGCGCCAGTCTCTCCGGCCCGGGGTCTAATCGGAATGTTCTTGGGGTGAGTTTGAGAACTTCAGAGAACAAAAGAGATGTCAGAGGCTTGGACTGTGTATTTAACTCTTTTGAAAACAAGTAGTTGTTCAGCACCTTGAACTTGCTGAACGCTGATTGTGCACCTACTGGGTGCCACCCCAGAGAGAAGGCCGCCCTGTCCTGTCCCTCCCAGAGCATGTGCCGCGGGGAAGGTTGGGACTCGGGCACCGGCAGGACTGGTGCCAGCATGGTCAGGGGCCGTGTTCCCATGGAAAGACGCCTCTCGTGGAGCAGGCCTGCCCATCTTGTTCGTGGTGGGCTCTGCCGTCCATCGGTGCCCCTGGGCAGGCCACTGAGCTCCAGGTCTCCTCAGTTTTTCTAACCAAACAGCAGTGCTGTCTGGCAGGAGGTGGCCTGAGGCCACTCACCTTTCTGTGATTTCAGCCGTCAAGCTGAGCTGCCAAAGAAGGAGGCAGCCTCCACGGGGCCCCAGGTGAAGAGAGCTGACGAGTGGAAGGACCCCTGGCGCCGGTCCAAGTCCCCCAAGAAGAAACTCGGAGTGTCGGTCTCCCCTAGCCGGGCACGACGGCGCCGGAAAACGTCAGCCTCGTCGGCCTCTGCCTCCAATTCCTCCAGGTGAGGAGCGCTGGCGGCCGCTGCCCGAAGATGGTGTCAGCGGGACAGAGCGGGCGTCTGTCTGCTCAGCGGGGGTGTGGGGTAGCTGAGTGGCAGTGTTGGTGCAAACTGGTCTGATGCTGAGCACGTTGGTGAGGCTCACATACCCCCAGAATAAACGGCAAGGTCAGCCAGGGTGCGGGCCACCCAGAACGGACCCCAGATTTGGGCAGGGGAGAGACGCTGCAAGGTAGGAGGCCAGAACCAGCATGACCCTGGCATCTCGTCAGTCCGCCTTCTTCTCCTGCGGGTTTGGGTCAGCAGCTCTGAAATCTGGGAGTACACAGGGTCTGCACAAATGAGCGGGAATGCCGTGAGTGATGAGGGCTGGGTCTCGCCCAGAAGAGGGCCGAGAGGAGCCTGCCGAGTTGGACGGGAACTGCAGGTGTCTGTGGACTCAAAGTGTTCACTCCCTGCCCGCGTCAGACACACCCGCCTACACGTGTGGGCACAGGTGTCCTGGCGCTACCCACTGAGGGCTGAGGAACCATCACCAGCAAGAGTGAGCACACCTGCCACCCAGATCTTGGTTTCTAAACACCATTCCCACAACCAGGGGACTGGCCTGCAGTGTGTCCACAAGCTGCCCGAGGGTGGGTGTGTGTCTGTGTGTGTGGCTGTGCCTTCCAGGCCTGTGCCTGGGCAAAGGACAGCAGGACTGGCGCCGGGGGTGGGATGGGCAGCGGACGACCGGCCTCTGTCCTCTCTCGTCCCCTCGGGGCTGCAGGTCGTCCTCGCGGTCCTCATCCTACTCTGGCTCTGGCTCGTCCCGGTCCCGATCCCGGTCCTCGTCCTACAGCTCCTACTCCAGCCGCTCTTCCAGACACAGCTCGTTCTCAGGCAGCCGGTCCAGGTACGTCCCTGAGGTGCTGCGGGTGCAGGGAGCGTGGGCTCATCCATAGTTGCCTGCGTGATGGGAGGTCTGCCTTGACAGGGCCCTTCTGGGTCCTCAGTCGTTTGCAGAACAGTCGCTGGGTTACAGGGTTGAGTGGTGAATTCTGGAGGATACACAACAAGAGGCCGAGTCACCAGCAGCAGATGCTGGGGTTGTTGACACAGGGCCACACATCAGGGGGCCCAGGAGCCACTCTGCCCTCGCCTGGTTCAGGAGGTGTGTGCGCTAAAATGAAGGAGGCAGCTATGGGGTCAGCGCCAGCCCTTGTGACCCCCGCGGCCCTGCACTGTCCACTGGGGGCCACCGACCACATGTGGCAGTTCACATCCCAGCACAGGGGAGGTGTGGGAGGGTGCACCAGCCCTGGTTGGCGTGCTCAGGTACGGAACATCTCCATCTTTGCAGAAAGTGCTGCTGCTCCATTCTAGAAAGATCACAGAACGTGTACATTTTCTCCCCTGAAAATAGGCAAACTGCTGGGAATTTTAGAGAATTTCTGGTTGTTATTTGGGAGGGAGGACGAGCCCTGGTCAGTGTGAGGAGGGGAGAAGTCCTGACGCGCTAGTGGCTGCTTTGGCCCTTCCCACCACACCCCTGCCTCCGCACGCACTCCACCGGCACAGACCTAGAGCCACACGCCTTCCCCACTCCCACCCACATCCCTATCCTGCTCACCCTTTCTGCCTCCTGCCAGCCTGAGACGCCGTGTGGGGACCCCACCCAGGGGAGGCCCAAGGCCAGAGGGGGGCTGCTTGTGTGGCTGTTTCCCCTACGACAGCCCGGAGACACTCCAGAGCTTCTGCCCGGGCTGCGCCCCTCCAGCTCCGTTGTTGCCTCGGCCCTGGCCCCAAGTCCCGGATCGGGTGCTACTGCCCCAGAGGGCTGCGGTGGGGTGTGGACAGGAGGCGTTCGCATCCTGTCACAGGACAGAACTGCACACAGAACACACGCGCCTGCTTCCCTGGGGAGCACCTCGCCAGCACTCTTGGGGTAAAGCGATGGGTCCTCCTGCGAGGCTGTGGCCCACAGTGGCACCCCTCTAGGACAGCGTAGAGGGCGTTGGGACAGCAGGATGGTACCATTGAAGCGGTTGAGTCTGGTGGCCATGTCTCTGTCTTGCAGGATCAGATGGCAGGTGGGCCACTTTCTAGGGAAGTCTCGAGGGCCAGCTGGGGCCCAGGGCCTCACAGCCTTCCTGCCTGGTGTTTACACAGTGCCCAGGGGTTCAGGGGCAATCCAGGAAGGCTGCCAGTAGGAGGCAGGGTGGAAGACAGGAAAGATGTTGATCAGAGCATCAAGGTCAGGAGAAACCGTGTCTGGTCTCACGTGAGAAACAAGGCTGGTGAGCTATGGGGAAGAAGCCTGGAGCCAAGCTGAGAAATCTGGGGATTCTGGAAATTCCAGGGTGTGACAGGGCTTACCTGCGGTCGTCCTTCTGAGTGAGCGGTTGATGAGACCGGGAAAGACCAGGAAGCGGGCCCTGTGTGTATCAGCCTCTGGGGTCAGGGCCCGGGTTGCAGCCCCGGGGGGTCTGCGTCCCAGCGTGGTCGGGCCGTCCCTGCCGAGGGAAGCAGCTGGCAAGTCCCCGGGGACCCAGCCCTGCGTTCGAGAACCGCATCCGTCTGCGCGTAGGCGTCCCCAGTGCTCTCAGAGTCGGGTGCACTTGAGTCCTGCCTAACCTCCCTGCTAATGCCCGGGACCAGCCCCACCCCACGCTCTCCGAGGGCAGCCCCGCCTGAGCCTGCGGGGAGGGCCTCGGGTCTGCCTTCCCGCCTCCCCGTGGGCAGCGCGGCCGCGTGAGGCGACGTGAGGGCAGGAGGGGGAACGGGCGTCTCTCCCGTGCGGCTCCGTCCGTGGCAGTCGCAGCGGCGCCCTGATTTCAGCTGCTGCTGCAGACCCTGCAGGCGGCTCGAAGCGGGGAAAGCCCAGCGAGCCCTGGAGCCCTGGGAAGCAGCCCCCTGTGCGACGTGGCGGCGCATCCCGGGGCTGCGGAGGCCACCGCTGGCCCCGTTCTCCTCATCCCCGCGGCCGGGCCAGGTTGCTGGCGCGCCTGCTGGAGCCTCGCAGGCGCGTGGTTCCCGTTTGTCCCTCAGCACCTCCTCTCCCCTCTGGGGGTGTGTTTTAGAAGATGACTAGACACTGGCTGAGGCACACGAGAGGCCGCCCGCAATGGCCTTCTCTGGGAGCCACACTCGGGCCCCTCACGCCTCCGTCCATTCTGCAGGTCCCGGTCTTTCTCCTCATCCCCCATCCCCGTCCCCGACGCCCTCCCCGCACAGACCTGTGAGAGCCAAGGGGGAACCAGCTCCGCCTCCCACCAAGGCAGGGTAAGTGCTCGCCAGTGCCACCGCCAGTTGGGCCCCAGAAGGTAGGCAGGGCGCCGGGGTTGGGCTCTGGAGGCTGTGGGCCACGTGCCGTGTCTGTGCTTCAGCAGCCCTGCGTGGCTGTGGGGACAGCCTGCTCCCGGAGGTAGGAGCCCCTTGGATCATGGGCCAGCGGTGCTCTGCCTGGTCGGGGAGGGCACGGCAGCAGCGGCCCTGCCAGCCTCCTCGTCTTTCACCTTCTTTGCTGCCCCTGGAGTTGGTCACCTTGATCCTTTTCAACAGATGTGACGACACGAGGAATCAGAATCGCCTAGAACTTAGCACACAAACTTTACGACACCTGTGAGCAGTGTCGAGGTGCAGCCTCCCCCCCAATCCCCCGGGGTGACAGTGGGCCCCACTCCTGCAGCTCTGCCGAGCACGAGGGCCAGCCTGATGGTGGCCGTCCCTGCACGGGTCTCGCGCAGCCCCGCTGCAGGTCTCTGTCCTGAGGGGGTCGGCCTCCGGGCTTCAGGCCTAGAGAACCCTGAGCGGGTCACTGATAGAGTGACCAGTGCTGACGTTTGACATCCCAGGCGCCGCAGCCGTCTGAATTGAACTTCCGGGTGGGCTGCCAGCATCCCGGACGCTCAAGCCCTCGGGGCTGCGCCCTACGCAGGCTTTATGCGGGTGGCGTCACGTGGGTGCCCGTGCGTCTGTGTCTTGGTCAGCACAGACTTCGACTCAGCCCTGAGGCTGTGCTGAGCAGCTTACTTCCGCCCAAGACGCTGTTTCCTGCTGGTGTCAGCCCTGCTGTGACCCACCTACACCAAGTGGTCAGGGGACCCGAACACTGCAGGCGGCTTAGGTGGCCGTTTTCCTGACTGTGCCGTGTGAGAGTGTGCCTGGCCCCCCCGAGGACCCCGCTGCACGCGGGCTGGCCAGGAGTGCGCATCTGCCGTGGGGTGCGGCCCTTGCTGAGGGAGCTTGCCCGGCTCTCCGTGACCCTCCAGGGCTCTTCAGATGCCCATCTTCCTCCCAGCCCTGCCTTTGGTGAGGAAGTAGCATGACGCCGTGAGCTCCGTGAGGTGTGGGGTCTCACAGGGAGCGTGTACGTGCACTGCACGTCCTAAGATGTGCCCGGCTGGTCTGACCTCCCCCTCACGTCACAGGGAGAAATCGGTGAAGAAGCCAGCCCCAGCTCCAGCCCCACCACAGGCCCCCAAAACCACTGCCGCTCCTGTCCCTGAGCCCACCAAGCCCGGAGACCCTCGGGAAGCCAGGAGGAGGGAGCGTCAGGCCAGGACCCCCCCCAGGAGGTAAGCACACTGATGTCAGGCCCTTCCAGAGCTGGGGAGAGGCTCCCGGGCAGCCGAGGCTTGACCCTTCAATCACCAAGCCTCGGTTTCCCTGGGAGCTCAATGGGAGGGTGGTGGTGGGGTGGGGAGCCGACTGGAGGTGCCCGTCTTGGGGGGAAAGTACTTAGAAGAGAGCAGCCCTGCTCGTGGCCCAGCTGGTGGCCAGTCGCCGGTGGAGCACTCGTCCCGAGCCAGCGAGTGTGCTGGCTCTGAGGAACGCCGTGTGCCAAGGCCGTGGAAGCAGAGCGGGGCTCTGGTTGTGTTGCAGGCGGACTGTCAGTGGCAGCGGCAGCGGCAGCAGCTACAGCGGCTCCAGTTCCAGATCCAGGTCATTATCAGCTCTGCCCCCCGTCGGGCCAGGAGGGGCCTCCTTGGGTGTGAGTGGCCTCCACCCTCGGGCGCCTGTGGCCCACCGCGGCTGCCTCACTGGTCCCAGGCGCTGGTCCGGAGCAGCCCCGACAAGAAGAGGCCAGGCCGATGCTCACAGCCCGGCCAGAGGGCTGGGTCCTGTCCCAGCCTGTCCAGCACAGGCGCGTGGGGAACAGCCGATGGGAAAAGTCTGTGAAAGATAGAAGAAAGCTCTGCTGTTTAGTTGTTTAGAGAGAAGACTGTCTGGGCTCAGGCTTTAGGTCCCTCGAATCCAGCTTCCTCTCATTTTCGTGCAGCAGGTAGTTCATACATTTGCCCGTGTCCTTGTAAGTAGGTCTGGGATGTGTTACAGACTGAACATTAAAAAAACTGGACTGTTACCTCCCCGTTCCAGCGTCTGCCCACCTCGGGACCCGGTGACGGGTGTCTTCTCGGAGGGCGGGTCACTGGATTCGGCAGAGGCTGGCGCGGCGGTTTGTCTCAAGTCCTTGTGTAGCGTGGGCTGTGACGGCCTGGGGCCCGGCCGCTGTGTCTGTGCCACCCTGAGCTGTGTGGATGCAGGCAGTCATCTTCCCCTGGGCCAGGACTCTGTTCTGTGTCCAGCCCTGGGTCACACTCCATCACGTGTCCCTGCCCGGCACACAGCACAGACATCAAGAGTGTGAGGGGCCTCATCTCGGCTGTATGGATGTCCCCTCACCATACGGCACCCGGGAACCACCCAAAGCTCCCCAAATTTCAGGCTTGGTGGGTGCACACCCCTCAGGAACAGGACCTAGGGAGTCTGGGGTCGGGGCCATGGGGCGCAGACGTGCGTGTGTGTCCAGGTCCCTGAGCGTGAGCAGCGTCTCCTCGGTGTCCAGTGCCACGTCGAGCAGCAGCTCAGCGCACAGCGTGGACTCGGATGACATGTATGCGGACCTGGCCAGCCCCGTGTCCTCAGCCAGCTCGCGGTCCCCAACCCCAGCCCAGACCAAGAAGGAGAAAGGTACGTGTCTGTGTCTTGGGCATCATGGATCCAGAGGAGGGTGCGTGGCAGTGCGGCTGGTGTCCATGTGCAGTGACCACACGCTACCCACCGCCCCCCCAAATGGCACATGGAGGCCGCCTCACCGGAACAGAGGCTGTGATGGGGTGTTTCTCTTTGGCAGGAAAATCTAAAAAGGAAGATGGTGTGAAAGCAGATAAGCGGAAACGGGATCCGTCCACACAGCCACCCAAACCCTCGAGGCCCAGCGCAGGCAGCAGATCCTCCCAGCAGCCCACGGCCCCCCAGCAGGCACCTCCCGGGCAGCCCCAGCAGGGCACGTTCATTGCCCACAAAGAGATCAAGCTGACCCTGCTCAACAAGGTGAGGCCGCGGGTGGCAGTGCTGGGCCCCAGGGACCCCTTGGCTGGTCCTGCCCTGGCGGGCAGCCTCATGGGCAGTAGCGCATGGGCACAAGTAGACAGTGCCAGGGGTGGTGGGAGCGCTCCCTGCCCTGGGTCTGGCCACAGCAGCCCTGGGCCGGGGCGCCACAGGCTTGGTCTCTCTGAGTTGGTGTCCACAATGCCCTGAGGGACGGGGAAGCAGGAGGCAGAGTCTGCTGGGGTCCCGTCCCATGGGCCCCACTTCCCTCGGCCATCCTCACCGCCACCCTCCCCGCCGCTGCAGGCTGCTGACAAAGCGAGCAGGAAGCGCTACGAGCCCTCAGACAAGGACCGGCAGAGCCCCCCTCCCGCCAAGCGGGCTAACCTGTCCCCGGACCGAGGTGAGCCGCCCCGAGCCGGGCGACAGGGCACAGGCGCCAGGACCCCGTCCACCCCTGAGGAGTGCTGAGGCCCTGGGGGGCTTCCGATAAGGTGGGGCGTGTCCATCCACGCCTGCCGCCGTCTGTGAGAGGCTCAAACTAAGGAAGGAGACAGTGATGAACTGTTGGGTTTTGACACAAATAACATCTTTTATGGGAAATAACTGTTTTCCAAAATAGAAGTTAGCAGAAGCGGCATTGGTTTTTTTTTTTTTCCATAGCCCGGTGCGGCTGGGATCCCATTTCTCAAAGCACATGCCCTCTGGGAAACTCCAGGCCAGCCCGTGAGCCTGTGCCGCGGAGGCAGTGCCGACCCCTGCAGAAGCACTGGCCCAGCCCCAGCCAGCATCTTTCTGGCTGGCTCTCACGAGTCCAGCAAAAATCTGACTCAGCCAAGCTGTCTTTACTTTCTAAGACAGAGGGCGAGGGCCCAGCAGAGCAGGGGCAGGTGGGGTGCAGGTCCCGGGCCGTCAGGAGCAGGAGGGCGCCACTGCCCCCAAGCACAGCGCCTGGGCCCACCAGCTGTGGTCCCAAGCCCCATCTGCCCTCACGCAGGACCCCACGCTCGCAGGGTGGTGCTGCAGCAGACACTCCTGTTTCTTTGCTTTGCTTGTATTTTTCAAGCCCTCACACCTTTTTGTTCCTTGTTTGAGGATCACAGCGAGTTCCTTCGAGGCAGGGAAGGAGGGTTTAGTCTGCCTGCTGTTGGCTGGTGAGAGCCCCACAGCCTGTTCGGACTGTTGCTCCAGAAACCAGCACCCACACTGGGCCTCAGCTTCAGTGTTTCCTGACGTAGTTAGTTCTCCCCTTCCCCTCCTTCTTACTGGCTCTGCCGTTTTCCTCTTTCTGTGACAACAAGGGCACTGAACTGAGCTGGCACAATCCTCTGGGGTGGGGTCGCTGGTCCCGGTGAGGCCGCCCCATCCCTGCCGGCCCACACCAGCCCCTGTGCTGCTGGCGTCACATGTAACTGGGACCCTGGTCTTCCTTCGCCCTGTGTCACCCAGGTTCTCGGGACCGGAAGTCAGGTGGGAGGCTTAGCTCCCCGAAGCCAGAGCGGCAGAGGGGCCAGAATTCCAAGGCACCCATGGCCCCGCCAGACAGGTGAGTGCCCCCCACCTTGTGCCCCGCACAAACCACATTGGCTTCTTTGCCACCAGATGGGCAGGCCTAGAGGCCGCTGGGTTGTTGCTCTTGGCTCTGATCCAGAGGCAAGAGTATGGCCCGGCTCATGTCTTATTCTGCCCCCATGTGGGTCTTGGAACACACGGCTCAGGGCCGGGAGAGGGGCAGGGCAGGGCATGGGAAGTAGAGCCTAGATCTCCTTTTCCCAGGAAGTGGGCTTGGAGTCCCTGCCACCTGCGGCTCTGGGTTGAGGGCCGAGTGGAAGGGGACACCAGGCGGACAGGCACAACGCCCCCCCACACCCCTGGCCCTTGGCCCACAGCAGTGTGGGGTTTCGGCTCGCCACAGTGTAGGGCGCAGATGAGGACTGCAGCCGGGGATGAGTTAGCGGGGCCCCAGCTGAGCCTGGACACTGCGCCCCCTCACCCTCCCGGTCTGTGCACCACAGACAGGGGAGTGGGAGGGAGTGTGGGGAGGCCACAACCCCACGGCCAGAACCAGGGCTGCAGTCAGGAGGCAGTGCTCTCCCACCTTGGGGGCCTCCATTCACTGGGGAGGGGTGCCCTCCACCTGGGCGCAGCTTCTGGGGTCCGGGCCCCTGGGCTGGCCGCCCTCCGCACCCTCTTGACGGCCTCCCGGCCCCTGCAGGAAGCGCCCATTGTCACCCCAGTCCAAGAGCTCTGGCAAGGTCACCAGTGTGCCTGGCAAAGCCTCGGACTCCAGCGCGGCCTCCGCCTCCGCCGGCACCAAGTCAGGGAAGGCCAGCACGCTGTCCCGGCGGGAGGAGCTGCTCAAGCAGCTGAAGGCCGTGGAGGACGCCATCGCCCGCAAGCGGGCCAAGATCCCCGGGAAGGTGTAGGCCCGTGCTCTGCTCCCGGGGCACAGACGCTCCTGTTTTTATAAATAGGGTAAGCACAGCCATTTTGGATTTTGCAGTTTATGTCTTATTTTGGCTGTGATTCTTTTTAAAAATTGAAAAAGAAAAAAAAAAGTTCCTCAGCTGGAAGAGAAGCCACACACACGGAATGAAGAGGACGCTGAGCCCCAGACTGAACCGGCCCCTCCCGGAGTGGAGTCCTGCCAGACCGGCGCCGACTTTACGTCAATTACGAGTCCAGGGCGCCCACGTGAGCCCCACCCTCTTTTCCTCCCTCTGCTCGTCAGGGTGCCCGCTGCCATGTGGGGCCCCGACGTGCCACCCCCACCATCACCGGGAACATCAGTGCTGCTGAGCGTCCTGCCTGTCCCCGCCGCCCCAGGATCAAAAAATATATATATTCTTGACTGAAGTCTGATTGGGAAATACTTCCTGTCTTTTATTTTAAGCATCAAATTGTTTCAGTTGATTTAAAAAGGAAAAAAAATACAGAAAAGGAAAAAAAAGGCCAAGAGTATTGTTGGGCGTCTGTCAGATGTGGAAGGTCTTTTTTTGAGGGGTCTCCTAAAATAAAATATTTTGATAAGCAGCGGTTTTGCCCTTGTGGTGATGTTTGCCTGGGCCTGGGCCCCCCACCTCCACCCTCCCCTTGGCGAGGGCCAGGCCACCCCACGACGGTCCCTGGGCCCTGGCTGACGGAGCCTGAGGACGGGGCTCCTCTTGGGAGACCCCTGTGAGGTTCCCTGGAGCCGTCAGCCCGGCGCACCTCCCCTGACCTGGTGTGGGGCCTCTGCCCCCAGCCCTGGTCTGATGGGGCTTCATGAATGCCGGGTGCCTGCGCTTGAGCAGGGACCCCCCCCCAACGCAGCCCTAAAGCCCAGTTCAACACTCAGCGAGCGCCTCAGCGGACGGTTCGACCACATGCGGACGTGAGACGCCCTGGCCAGGCCACTCTGCTGTCTCGCTGCAGGGCAGGAGCAGGTCTGAGAGCCCCTGCCTGTGCAGTGCCCACCACAGCCCCTTCTCTCCACCCCGGAGAGCTCCAGCAGGACAGGACCACCAGAAAGAGATTCCTTCCTTGGGGACTGAACTTGCAGGGTGGGGCCTGGGGCCTCGGAGCTCCACTGCCCTTGGGTGACTTGACATGCAGACGACCGGTCACCCCAGAGCCTAGCCAGGCCGTGTCAGGAGGCAGCAGCCCGGGGCCTGGCCTGGTGCTGTGGCCCGAGGAGCTGTGTGCAGTTACAGGATGCATTCTGAGGCGCTCTGCCCCAAGGCTGCGTGGCCAGTAAAATGTGGGGCAGGAGGAGGGAGCGGGACGGAGTGCCGCTGAGGTGGCCGTGCCAAGGGGCCTCCTGTAGGGGCGGTCTCCAGGGCCCCATCCTCGCCGGTCCCTTGGCCTGGCACGCAATGCCTCTTGCCTCACCCACCTCACGCGTGTGCTGAGCAATTTTTCAAGACTTATCTGATTTGCCATCGGGTCAAAGTCAGGTGCTAAGGAAATGCCCATTCTCTGAATGGGTGGCCTTTATGGACATGGAGTCAGAATCCAGGACACCTCGGGTGACAGCCTGTCCCTGCCTTCTGCACCCCTGGCCACTGGGCCCCATCTGCCAGCCAGGCAGTGACGGCCTCTGAAGCCGGGAACCCACAGGTGAGCCCACCTCGCAGGTCTCTGCACTCAGCCCCTTCCCTGCTGGCCTGACTGGGCCTCCGACGCCTGGGTGGGAGCTCCAGTCCTGAGTCCCTGGACCCAGGCTGAGTTTAAACTAGCAGCTCTCCATCCAGGGGCAGGCGCCTGACCTGGGAGGGCTGAGGTCCTGGCAAGGGGGTCACATGCAAAGGTTGGGAATGATCAGAGTTCCTTAAGTCCCACCTCTGCTTACAGACTGTCCCAGACCTCCTGCTCCTCCAGTCCTCCTCCTCCTCCTCCTCCCCCCCCCCTCCAGGGCGCAGGCCTGCTTGCCTTCCTCCCACCCCAGGGCCTTTGCACTTGCCCTTTCCTGTTCCTGGAACTCTGACCCAGCTGAGCCCTTTATTTATTCTCCAAGCTCAGGCCAGGGCTGCCCCGTCGGCTCCGGCCCTCAGCTGTGAGCTGCCCCAGTGCTCCTGGAGTGGCCCCAGCAGTGCAGACCTCCAGTGGGCCTTCCTCAGGTGAGAACCAGTGGCGCCTGACCCAGCACCCAGCACCTGGCCCCACCCCTTCTGTTTCCTTCTCATGAGGGGAGGGGCCAGGTCTTCCACAGTCCGGCCCGTGGTCATGGTGTCGGCAGACGCTGCTGGCCGAGAGCAGGACCCGGGCACTTGGGCCATCACGGTGTCCTCCGCAAGCCCGGCCTCTCTCCAACCGTGTGTGCTCAGGTCTGCAGCCATCTCGGCCTCTTCTCCTCTCGCTCTTGAATGGATAAAAAAAGACTATTGTTTCAACTTACAATTTTTCTCACTGAGTGTCATTAGTGAACGCCTTGCACCAACGAGACAGCTCAGTTTCGTATGAAGATTAAGTTCCTGTGGGTTTCTTGTGGCGGGGGTCACACCCGCCCCCTGGTGATTTACAGCAGCCGCAGTCCCCTCACCCTGCCTCTACACCAGCCCTGTGCCCCATTCCCTGAGGTCTGGCCTCCACCCATCCCTCCTACCCCGCCTCCACCCACCTCCATCCCCCTTCAGCATCTCCCCAGGCGGGGATTTGGGAGTGAGGCCAAATGGGTGTGGTCTGTATGGGCAGGGATGCAGTGGGTGTGGCTTGAGGGGTGGAGTCTTCCATGACACCTCCTCCAGGACACCCTCCAGCCTTCCTCCTGCAGCCACCTTTCCAGTCTTGCTCAACCCTGGGCTGGTACTTGCCTCGGCTGCCAGAAGGAATGAGGCACTACTGGGCCCCACCCTGTGTCCTTCCTGTCAGTGCGGGACCCTCTACCTCAGCTAGGGCGCCAGTGCCCTCCAGAAATTTGTCCTCCAGAGTGGCTGCCACAACTTCGCCTAGCAGCTCAGGGCAGCGGTGAGGAAGGGGCGCAAGACTAGCCCCTGGAATCGTCCCCAGTGTGCCCACTTGCTTTGGGCTGTTCAGAACAGACACAGGACACCTGAGGCCCTGCCCCTTGGGTGGGGACCCCCTGCAAGGGAGCTCTGCAGTCTTTCAATCATGAAGATTGTGCTGGGACCCCAGCCCCAAGGGAGGCAAATGTGTGGCTGAGGGCCTCCTCCCCGGCCTGCAGGTTCTTCCTTCTCGTTGGCTTCTGTCCCAGGCATGGGTGCCAGGCATGGAATGGGTGTCCAGGTGGCCCTCTTCCTCCACTGTGAGGCAGCTCCGCACCTGGGACGGGCCAGGCGGGCACACACTCCCTCCCTCCTCCCTGGGGGCTCATGGCCTTCTGGGCCAAGGCAGGAGGGGCTGAGAATTCTTAGAGCCAGGGGTGCTCCTGCAGGAGGGCAGGCCTCTGCTCAGCCTGAGGAGGGTGCTCCTCGACCCAAGCATCTGTCCTGGTAGGGGGTGAGGGGCTAGGCTGTGTCCCCCAAAACATGTTGCTGTCCTAGCCCTGGTGCCTGTGAAGAGTGTGCCTTCACCTGGGAAAAGGGCCTCTGCAGGTGTGATCAGGGCCAGGGCCTTGATGTCATCCTGGCTTTCGGTGTGTGTCTTTAGAAGATACAGAAAAGGAGACACGCGGGGGAAGAGGCCACGTGAAGATGGAGGCAGAGGTTGGACTGATGCGTTTACAAGCCAGGGATCCAAGAGTCACCAGGAGCCACCGCGAGCTGGGAGAGAGGCGGAAGGACCCTCTCTCAGTGGCCCCAGGAGAAGCCAACCCAACTGACCCTTTGATTTGGGGCCTCTGGCCTCCAGAGCTGGGGGACATCGAACTTGTGTTGTTTTAAGCCCCCTAGTCTGTGGTACTGTGCTATGGCCGCCCCAGGAAGCGAATACAGGTGGTGAGCTCCCTGTTGCAGGAGGTGTGCGAGCAGAGGGCGGATGGCGGTGGGCAGGCACCTGTGGGCAGGAGCAGCCCTGGGGACTCATCCATCCGTCTGTTCATCCATCCGTCAGGACACAGCACCTGCTGCGGGAACATTTCCTCCAGACCGAGGCCGGGAACCATCTTCTGCCTCACCTGGGCCCCGGGAGGGCAGGGCAGCCCCCCATACAGGTGCAGGCTTGAGGCCAGAGTCACACTGCTGAGCCGAGGCACTGGGAGGGCCCAGGCGTCCCACCGCCTTCCCCAGCCCCATCTCAGGTCTCCCTGTCCATGGAGACTGGGGCCTTAATGGTGTGTGCTCTGGCTCCTGCCAGCCGGTGAGGAGAGACCAGTAGGCGGGTTGACTCCACCTTCCCCACCCCAGACCCTCCTCAGCCAGACACGTATTTGATTATTTGATCTGAGAGGACCAGGGCAGACAGGGCCTTCAGCCTTGGAGGGTGGCTGGGACCCAGTGGACCCTCCCCAGGATGGTGTCCAAACCTGAGGCATTCAAAACTTTGCAAGATCTGACCCAAACTCTCTCCTTCTCAGATTAACGAAGGCACCTCCCGCATCCCCAGCTGGCAGCGCTGAGTTGGCACAGGTGGGCTCCTGGGGTCTCCTTATAACGCGTCTTAGGGGGCACGGCACTTCAAAGTTTCCAAGGCATTGCCAAGCCTTCCGTCTCAGACTTGCGCTTCTGTTGACTAAAACCACAGAAGCCCAAAGTAGAATCCTGAAGACACTCTCTGGCCCTCAGCCCCCAAGTCTTCTGGAACCACCCACTGCTGGAGGGCGAGAGGAGGCAGGCACCAAGGTGCACCGGATGAAAACTGGACCCAGCCTCATGTCCACCAACAGGGACAGAGAATCAACCCTGGTGGAGGACTAGTCAGCCACCTAACGAGGGCGAGCCCCTTGCCCCAGGTCACCAGGTCTGAGCAGCAAAAACATACACGCTGACTCAGAAGCAAGAATCAAAGAAGCAGGCTGCAGAAGGATACTCAGCCTGAAACCCTTCTATAGAATGGGCAGGACCCCTTCTCAGCTCCACTTGCCTCGGGTAGGGTCCCTTA